AAAGGCAACTCCCTGTATCTTTGCTGAAGGGAGGAGAAAACACGATTTAGCAAATGAGTGCGCCAGGCCCGAGGCTCCCAACCTGCTTTGAAGCAGCCAGAGTGAAATCCCATTGGAAACTCCCAAATATGCTGCGGGGCTGCTCATGGTTTAACTTGGATGGGACCCCCAAACCAGACTGGCCCCCCTCTTAACCATTCAGTCTCTGGGCACCTTGGGGAACCTCGAGGCTTAGTTTGAAAACCCCTGGACTTGGTCAGGCCGCTCTTTTCACATGGGAAGGCTGAAGGAAGGGGATGGGCCCAGGCCACACAGGCAGCAAGTAGGAGCCTAGAACTAGGCCTCCCAATACCTAGGCCCACTGGGGTCCTCACTGGCCAGTCCTGAGTTGAGGAGAACAGGAGGCGGGGGTTCCATCTGTCTGTCCTGGAGCGAGATTGGGGAAGATGCACTTAGGAGGTGGGAGATGAGACAGAGAGAGGGAAGAGAGGGTCCTTAAAACAGCAGCTGATGCCTAATGAGCTCCGAGTGTGCAGCCTGTGGGACCACAGCGGCTATTCAGATTCCGGCCTCTACTGCAGGGCTAGGCCAGTGACCAAATGACCAGGCAAGAACTGGCATTGCACTGGGCCTGGAAGGCAGTGGGGTCACAGCTGGAGCATACAGGGGGCTGTTCCCATGTCTCCGGAAGGACTACTGACTCAGCGAGGAGTGTCCCGGGTCCCAAGGGAGTAAATGCAGAGGTGGAAGCCTCTCCACCTTGCTCCATGGGACAGGAGGGAGGCAGCCGGCATGATCTGTGCATGTTGTTTGGTAGCTGGTTGCTGGTAAGTTCTTCCTGCTGGCAGGTCATTCCCTTCCAGCTCTGCAGGCAGGGTTATCACTGGGGTGGTGCTGAGTAGCCTGAGCCTTTCCTCCGTTTGTTCTGGGCTGGGGTTGCTCTTCCTCACTGTGGGGTGTCAAGGCCAGTGCCTGGCTCACCCCATGTCACCATTTTATTGGAGCAGCTTCTCCCTGGAGGTGCTGAGGATCCCCATGGGGACGGGAGTCTGGGGGCCACTTGTGGACCCTCTGGTCTTTCCCTAGTAGGACCCGGCAGGCCGCCCTGAGAGTGAGGCGCTTCCGCAGGGAGCACGCACAACTGCTCCGATGGATCTGCATAGGCCTGCTCTGCACTGGTGAGCCTGGGCTCCGCCCCGCCCACCCCTCCCACCCATTTCCGCCATCTCCACCCCAGCCATCATGTCTCAGGGCAGGGTCGTTCACTTACCCAAGCATTCAACAGAGCTTTGTTGAGCAACAGCTCAGGGCGAGCTGCCATGCCAGAAGCAGGGTCAGCAGAATTAAGGAAGACCGGATGTTGTTCCCAAGGCACTCTGATCAGTAAGGGAGAGGACAACAACTATGTCCACATAGTACAGCTTGCCATCTGGGAGCACCAAGGAAGGATGGGGCGATCAGGGAGGACTTCCAGGAGGAGGTGGCATCTGAGTCTCACAGGTTGAGCAGGAGTTGGCCAGGTGGAGGGGAAGGACAACAAGGAGTGAGAGGCACTCCATGCAAAGGAACCCCAGGAGCAAAAGTGAAAAGGGACAGGATGTGAACAGGGAGTTGATCAACAGTCTAGTGTGGCCAGAGGGTAATATTCTAGACAAGGAGCCAGAGGATGAGGCTGGACAGATGAGAAAGGGCTGATATTGCATCGATGTAAGAACATCCAAACCTGTAGAGAGTTCTTATGATACTTTGAGTCAAACAGAGATATGCCTGCCTGCAAGCAAGATCTCCACGGACTGAGAAAAATACTTCTGAGACTAACAGTTTGCAGTTTCTTTTATGCATTTGAGATTAAGGAGGGAACGAAAGGACGATTACATAAATGTGGGAAAAAGCCAAGTGCAGACTCTCCAACTAGTCTGGTAGCAGAGGGGGTGGAGTAGAGCTTACACTCACAGTGTTTCATCTCACATCTTTTATCCAATGGAAAGGCTACGCGTATCTTCCCATTCTTCAAGAGCCCTGGCTTTTGAAACTCATAAGCCAGGGAGAGATATTTCCCCTCTATCTACTATCTACTATCTACTAACATATTCCTTTCTTTTTTTTTAAATTAAATCTTTATTGTTCAGATTATTACATTGGTTCCTCTTTTTTCCCCCCATAACTCCCCTCCACCCAGTTCCCACCCCACCCTCCGCCCTCACTCCCCACCCACTGTCCTCATCCATAGGTGCACGATTATTGTCCAATCTCTTCCCGCACCCTCCACAGCCCTTTCCCCCCAAGAATAGTCAGTCCATTCCCTTTCTATGTCCCTGATTCTATTATATTCACCAGTTTATACTGTTCATCAGATTATTTATTCACTTGATTTTTAGATTCACTTGTTGATAGATGTGTATTTGTTGTTCATAATTTGTATCTTTACCTTTTTCTTCTTCTTCCTCTTCTTAAAGGATACCTTTCAGCATTTCATATAATACTGGTTTGGTGGTGATGAACTCCTTTAGCTTTTTCTTATCAGTGAAGCTCTTTATCTGACCTTCACTTCTGAATGATAGCTTTGCTGGATAAAGTAATCTTGGTTGTAGGTTCTTGCTATTCATCACTTTGAATATTTCTTGCCACTCCCTTCTGGCCTGCATAGTTTCTGTTGAGAAATCAGCTGACAGTCGTATGGGTACTCCCTAGTAGGTAACTGACTTTCTTTCTCTTGCTGCTTTTAGGATTCTCTCTTTGTCTTTTGCTCTTGGCATTTTAATTATGATGTGTCTTGGTGTGGTCCTCTTTGGATTCCTTTTGTTTTGGGTTCTATGTGCTTCCTGGACTTGGAAGTCTATTCCTTTCACCAGGTAGGGGAAGTTTTCTGTCATTATTTCTTCAAATAGGTTTTCAATATCTTGCCCTCTCTCTTCTCCTGGCACCCCTATAATTCTGATGTTGGTACGCTTGAAGTTGTCCCAGAGGCTCCTTACCCTACCTTCGTATTTTTGGATTCTTTTTTCATTTTGCTTTTCTGGTTGGGTGTTTTTTGCTTCTTCGTATTTCAAATCTTTGACTTGATTCTTGCGATCCTCTGGTCTGCTGTTGGGAGTCTGTATAATATTCTTTATTTCAGTCAGTGTATGCTTAATTTCTAGTTGGTCCTTTATCACAACATCGAGGGTCTCACTAGATTTCTTGAGGATCTCACTACATTTATCGGCGGTTTCTAGAAAATTCTTGAAAAACCTAAAAATTGTGGTTTTAAACTCTATATCCAGTAGTTTGCTTTCCCCCATTTCTGTCATTTGTGTCCTGTTTCTTTGTCTCGGCATTTTTTTATGCTTCGCTGTGTTGATAGAGTGGCTTTCTGTGCTAAGTGTCCCAATTACCGGAGGTAGACACTCTTGGTGCACCCCCTTGTGGGCTTTGTGCACAGTCTTGTTGTAGTTAAGCCTTGATTGTTGTAGGTAATACTGGGAGGATTTGACCTCCAGGCCGATTGGCTGTGAGAATCAGCTGTGTCTACAGTGGGAGAACTTCTGTGCTGAAGACACCTTTATGGGGCAAGACTTGCTTCAGTGGGGCTTTGGTGCTCACTGAGTCTGCTCCCTGAGTGTGTCCCTTATGGATCTGAGGAGTTGTAATTGGATGGTCCCACTCTGACCACTGGGTACACTGGCTCTTGGATCTAAGGAGGTGCTAATCTAGCCTCTGCCTGCGCAGCTACCCAGCAGAAGCCAGCTGTAAAGCAATGCAAGTTGCCCTGGGGCCTTGGGGCAGCTGCAGTTTGTTAAGTTGTTTTCAGATTACAAAGGGCAGGGCCTTTCATATGCAAAAGCCTCCATGCAGGGCTTGGGCGGGGTGGGTCCCAGGGGATCAACGGGGCGGGCGGAGTGAGCAGAATGGCTGCTCTCAGTCCTGCCTTCTGCCTTCGAGTTCCGACCGATGCCAGACAGTCCCACTTCTCCCGTATGAGTCAGGGTCCCCAGAGACTTGCCCAGAACTGGAGCTCAGAGCCTGAGACTCCCTTCCGATTGAGAAAGACAATCGTGTCCTCAGCTGCCAGCCCTCTCCGCATGCACCTCCGCACCTTTGTATTTTACTTCCACACTGCACCTCCTCTGAGTCTTGGTATGCTTTTCTCTTTCCTTCTAGTTGTAGAATTTCCACTCAGCCAGCCTTCCTGTAGTTCTGGATGATGTCCGTTCCGTCTTTTAGTTGTATTCTTGAAGTGGTTGTGCGAGGCAGCAATCTCCGGTGTTTACCTATGCCGCCACCTTGGTTTCTCCTATTCCTTTCTTTAAAAATATATATATTTTTATTGATTTCAGAGAGAAAGGAAGAGGAAGAGAGAGAGAGAGAGAGAAACATTAATGATGAGAGGGAATCATGGTTCGGCTGCCTCCTGCACGCCCCCTACTGGGGATTGAGCCTGCAACCTGGGCATGTGTCCTGACTGGGAATCAAACTGTGACCTCCTGGTTCACAGGTCGATGCTCAACCACTGAACCACACTGGCCGGGCTCCTATTCCTTTCTGGAGGCATAGCACAGACTCGAAGGGGAGGGGGGCAAAGGGGGAAAAGGAAATTCCAGGAAGAAAATGTCACTGATTCATACTTCAGAAGGGAATCCTGGCATAAATAAGCGGACGCCTTCCAGGAGTATCTGACTCATTTACTCTGTCCTCATTGGAACCCAGTGAGCTCTGGGGCATAGCAGGCACTCTTTTGACGCTAGAAAAAGCCACACTGTCTAGCAGTCAGTGATGGCGAACCTATGACACGCGTGTCAGAGGTGACACGCGAACTCATTTTTCTGGTTGATTTTTCTATGTTAAATGGCATTTAAATATATAAAATAAATATCAAAAATATAAGTCTTTGTTTTACTATGGTTGCAAATATCAAAAAATTTCTGTATGTGACACGGCACCAGAGTTAAGTTAGGGTTTTTCAAAATGCTGACACGCCGAGCTCAGAAGGTTCGCCATCACTGGCTCTAGCTTCTTCCGAACACATCTCCTCGCTCACGTTTGGTCAGCACTTTGCAGCTTGCAGAGCCCTTATACACCACTCTATCAGTTACCACGGTAACAACCCTCATCACAGGAGGGATGATGGTTGGCACTTCCAGGCGAGGAACTGAGGCTCAGAGGGGTTGGGTGAAGTTCCTGCCCTCCAAGTTCTGGATGGGGCAGTTGGAGCCAGAGGGCGGGGCTGCAGGGGCCCGCAGAGACCCATGTCATCACTGACCCCCCTTCTTGTACTTTCCCCTCCCACTGCCAGCGTTCGCGGCCTTCCTGTTGACTGCTTGCATCCTGAATTTCCAGAAGGCCCTGCCCCTGTTTGTCCTCACCTGTGTGGTCCTGGCCTTCTTGGCCTACGGCCTGTTGAAGAGGTGGCTGGGACCAAACAGGCTGAGGTGTGCCACGCCTTGGGGGCATTCCCCCCGCAGGAGCCTCTGGTTTAAGAGGTGAGTGAGCTCACAGCCCCCAGGTAGGGCGGGGTGAGAAGGAGCGGGGGCACATTGACTGAGGGCCTCTGAGTCAGCTCTGGGGGCACAGCCAGGGCTGGGTGAGCAGGGCCTCGGGCCATCCCACCAGCCAGTTCCTGTGCCATGGGGAGCGTACTCCACCCTGCTTGCCTTTTGGAAGCCCCAGGGCAAGCATGAAGGTGGCAGCAATCTTTGTGGAGATTTGCCAGTTCCTGTCTGGTCTCTGCCCCAGTTACAACAGCTGACTGACAGCAGAGAACAGGACTCAGCAGTTTCCTAAAGTAAGAGACCCCAGCTCATCCGGGCAGGGAGGGCCTATCAGATCATCCGGGACATGTGTGAGACATGTAGCTGCAGGGGGACCACCCTGGAGTCTGAATCAGCAGGCTGGGCTAGGGTCCAGGTGTCATTAATGTTTCTCTCTCTCTCTCTCTTTCTCTACCTCTAAAAGGTAGCCCCCAGGGGATTTTGTTGTTGTTGTTAATAATCCTCACCCAAGGATATTATTTCCATTGATTTTCAGAAACTAGAAGGGAGGGAAGGAGGGAAAGAGAGAGGGCGAAGGAAAGGGAGAGAGAAAGAGAAAGAAACATCGATGTAAGAGAGACACACACCCCAGCTGGGACCGCGGATCAAACCTGCAACCCATGTAGGTGCCCTTGACTATGAATCGAACCTGAGACCCTTCAGTCCATGGGCCGATGCACATCGGCCGGGGCAACAGAGAATTTTTTTAAAGTATATTTTTATTGATTTCAGAGAGGAAGGAAGAGGGAGAGAGAGATAAAAACATCAATGATGAGAATCATTGACCATCTGCCTCCTGCATGCCCCCTATTGGGGGTTGGGCCTGCAATCCGGGCATGTGCCCTAACTGGGAATCAAACCCTGACCTCCTGGTTCATAGGTCAGCACTCAACCACTGAGCCGTGCGGCCGGGCCTAACAACATGTACAGAGTGTATAATGGTGGGATGTGATCTCACTGTATTTAGTATTTAGTCCTCTCCCAACCCTGAGAAATGGGGAGCCTTTGGCCTCCTTTTCCCAGTGAGGAAATTAGACTCAGAGAGGCTAGGTGGTTTTCCTGAAGTCACACAGCTCTCTCCTCCCACCAGCCCTGAGTGCGCTTTCCCTGGAACCCAGGTGGTCTCCTGTGTGGGGTTGGGGAAGATGCTGAGGGTGATGTCTTTCTGCCTTTCCCCTGCAGGGGTATAGCCCTCGCTGCTTTCCTGGCCCTGGTCCTGTGGCTGGCTCTGGACACCTCCCAGCGGCCTGAGCAGCTGGTGTCCTTTGCAGGAATCTGCGTGTTCATCGGCATCCTCTTTGCCTGCTCAAAGCATCACCGCGCAGTGAGTGCTTAGTTGTCAGGCGTGAGTGGGGCTCAGCCCTTCCTCTCCCGCTGCCTCCTTGGCAATGCAACCACCCCACTATCAGGACCCCTCCTGGTTTCACGGTGTGGCTAACACCTCACCTCCTCCCCACTCCCCCCTCTCTCACCCCCGGCTCCAGCCAGGCCTCCCAGAGATCCTGATGCACACCTGAGTTTGGGGGTCACCACTAAGGAATCATTAAATGCTGAGAGGCATCCAGCTCCCTGCTGCTGGAGTGAGAACATTGACAGAGGGAGATTAGGGCAATGGGGTCCCTGCCTATGGAGGAGGAATGGGGGAGGGTCCAGGCAGACGAAGGTTACACTGAGGCCCGACCCTGAGGCTACAATTCCACTCACCCAGCGATGACCCGGGACCAAGCGCCATGGCATGCCCAAGGCTGGTGAAGGCTTACATGGGTCCTCGGTTAGACCTGCCCACTCCTGCCTGCTGCCCCAGTCTCACTGCCGCCAAGGGTGTGGCCTATTATGAACTCCAGGAAGGATGTGACCACTGGCAATAGGTCCAACCTCTGGCTGGACCAGCCCTATCCTACAGGCAGGCTAACGCACCCGTAGCCCCTCAGAGCAGCCCCCTGGCCTCTGCTCTCACCCCACCCTGTCCCCGGTGGGTGCCCCCGGGGAGGTGAGCTCACCAGGACCTTTCTGTATCGCCGGCAGGTGTCTTGGCGGACCGTGTCCTGGGGTCTTGGGCTACAGTTTGTACTTGGCCTCTTTGTCATCAGAACAGAACCTGGATTTATTGCATTCCGGTGGCTGGGCGACCAGATCCAGGTGTGTACGTGGAGCCCGGCTTCCCAGGGCATCTTGGGTTGCCAGGGAATGAGACGCCATTCTGTTGGGGGACAGTGGGAGGTGAGGCCTCAGAGAGGGATTGGGACCAAGATGGTTGGTGTGTAGTGGGCCCCAGACCAAGTGGGCAGCTGGGGGCTAGGCTGTGCAGCTGGTACTTCCCTCAGTCCTGGTGCCCCCGGACAGAGCGGTCCCCTCAGAGGCTGGGTCTGATACCGGAGAGAGGCATGTGGTCCTTGGCAGTCATCAGTGATGTGGAATGTATAATGGGAGTGCTTAGAAAATTGCAAATTATTTACTTTGTGTATGTGTGTGTTTAAAGACAATGTTTAGTTTATTGAAGTTATACTTTCTAAATTTCATTTTTCATTGTAGTAAATACACGTAACAGTTACCAATTTAGCCATTTCTATTTTTTAAATATATTTTTATTTACTTCAGAGATTAAGGAAGAGGGAAAGAGAGCTAGAAACATCAATGATGAGAGAGAATCATTGATCGGCTGCCTCCTGCACGCCCCCTATTGAGCCTGCAACCCGGGCATGTGCCTTGATGAGAATTGAACCCGGGACCCTCCAGTCCGCAGGCTGATGCTCTATCCCCTGAGCCAAACTGGCTAGGGCCCATTGTAACCATTTTTAAATGTCATTGAGTTTATTCACATTGTTGTGCAACCATCATGACTTACTTTGTAAAATATGAATTCCGGAAGACAAAAGGTTAATCCTGTACTCAGCCCTGAAGGCACGCATTTCCATGTGCCCTGGAGGAGAAAGCCCTGCGTGTCCGGGCTCTGGCTCCGTGTGGGTGTTGGAGCAGAGGAGACAGAGCTGCTACTCCGGTTGTGTTCCCCATTTTATAGATGGGGACGCTGAGGCCTGGATAGGAGAAGTGACTTGTCCCTGCAGCCACAATGCAAGTTCCGGACCTAAATCAGGTCTTCTGTGGAAGTGTGGCCAGATTCAAACACCAAAGCCAAGAGCCTGGGGCAGGGACAGATGGGGGCTGTGCCCTTGGTCAGGAGGGAGGGGGGAGCAGGCCGGCAGGTGAGGCAGCCCTTGACAGCCGTCTCACCTCTCACTGTTTGGCTCCCTTTGTTGTTTATTTATTCTCCAAATAACTCTCATCTCAGAGCATTTCTTTAAACTTTATTGAAAGGGTGTATCTTCTGGAGAGAGTGGCCATCAATGGGGCTTTAACGACGCACACTGCCATGTGGTGTCCAGCCCCTACAAGGCCAAGGCCTGGGGGCCTCGTCCTGGGACCAACCTGCCACTGTTTCCTCCCTCCTGGGTCCCTCATGGGCTCACTCTGGATTTCATTTTATTTTGTTTTCTCCTTTCAGACCTTCCTGAGCTACACCACGGCCGGCTCCAAGTTCGTGTTTGGGGAAGCTCTGATCAAGAATGTCTTTGCCTTTCAGGTCAGCTGACTGTTGGCCCACAAGGCCTTTAGCAGCCTCTTCCAGGCACCTCCAGCTAGTGGGGAGCCCGAGCCAGCTGTGTGGGCCAGGCCTGGGCGGGGGTTCTAGAAGCTATTGAAGTGAAGCCTTGGGTCCTGGGAGGGGCCCTGGCAGGAGGATGGCTTGGCTTAGCGGTTTGCTTTTAGTTCTGTTAGCTGCATCCTTTCTCTTTTCTCCCTTTCTGGAAGAATGTGCACAGACCTGCAACTTGCATCTCTCCCCTAAGCACCCTTCAGAACCATGAATTCATAGCCCATCAGGCTACAAGGATGCTCAGCGATCTTGGGCCTCCCTTTATACTACAGGGGGTCACCCCAAGAGGAGCAGTGACCTGGCCACAGTGGCCCAGCAAGTCAGGGCAGAGCCAGGCCGAGAGCTGGGTCGTTGGACTTCCAGTCAAGTGATGTTTCCTCATATGCTAAGTAGAAGCCAGTGACGTCATGCCTCCCTTCCAAAGAGCATGCCTAATCGCAGGAGAAATACATTTAAATCATATTAATGGTTGCTAAAGATTTTGAGATTGGATGTTCTGTTAAGAGAGAAAAACCAAGGGAGGGAGGGAGGTTTATCATTAACCAGCCTCAGCATTTTCCTATCAAATAATAACTATTTCCTGGCCGCTGTGAGGCCGTGTCCTTTGGACAGACTGTCAGTGGATTAGCCAGGGCTTTCTGAGCAAAGATGGGTCAGGCGAGGGAGGACTTCAGACAAATGCTCCTTGGCCACAGAACTCCCTCTCTCACAAGATTCATGAGTCACAAATTTCCCTCCTCCCTGCATTATGCACACACACACATAAACACATACATGCACACATGCATACATGCACATGAACACACACACATGAACACTCACACTTGCCAGGCTTGGGACTTATCCTCAGTGTAGGAGTGGCTTTATGGCTGAGTCGAATAGAAGACTCAGAAGCTTTCTTTTGGTTCTTTCCATGAATCATGTGGACCTGGTCCAAGGCCCTTGGCCCATGTCAGCCTGGGGAAGTTTTCTTTGGGCTTGCTCAGATTTTCAGAATCCAAGCTGCTTCCAGCTGGGCCACAGTCCAGCTCATCACTCCTCCAGGAAGTTGAGCCCCTGCAGGAGGCTCCTTCAGTCCCCAGCGCCCCTGGCCTGGAGTCCAGCACAGTGGAGGTGGCAGCCTGGCTGGATCATTCTAAGTAGTCATTCCACCTTGGCTCTATCTCCCTTCTGGTAACTTTTCACCCACATGATGGCCTCCCCCCAGGCTCCCGCATCCTTCCTGGGTCTGGCTGAGCTGGAGCACACGTCCGCTCATCCCTTCACTAACACTCCGGCCTCTGGAACGTGCACCGCTTGCTAAGCTCAGCAGTGCTGCTCACATGGTCTTTCTGAGGAAGCCCTAGGGAAGTGGTTCTCAACCTTCCTAATGCCGTGACCCTTTCATACAGTTCCTCATGTTGTGGTGACCCCCAATTTCATTGTTACAAATTGAACATAATTAAAGCATAGTGATTAATCACAAAAACAATATGTAATTATACATGTGTTTTCCAATGGTCTTAGGCGACTCCTGTGAAAGGGTCGTTTGACCCCCAAAGGGGTCGCAACCCACAGATTGAGAACTGCTGCCCTAGGGAGAAGGAAATGTTCTCACCTCCCAGGGGTTTCAGGTGTCTGCCTGATGCAGCCTCTGCAATCCCCAATGGTCAGCAGTGCCACATTTTGGGGGAAAAAAAAAGATAGTAAGTAAGACAAGGACAAAAAATACCCCAAATAAAATAAGGACTGAAAGGTACCATTGGATTGCCCGACTGCTGTGGCTTAGTGGTTGAGGGTCGACCTAGGAACCAAGAAGTCATGGTTCAGTTCCCTGTCAGGGCAGGTACCAGGTTGTGGGGGTCTATCCCCAGTAGAGGGCATGCAGGAGGCAGCTGATTGATGCTGTTTTTCTCTTGTCAATGTTTCTATCTCTCTATGCCTCTTCCTTCCCCCCCACCTCTCTAAAATAAATTTTAAAAGCATATTTAAAAAAAAAAGGTACTGGAGAAACCAAGATGGCGGCATAGGTAAACACCTGAAATTGCTGCCTCGTACAACCACTTCAAAATTACAACTAAAGACAAAACAGACATCACCCAGAACCACAGGAAGGCTGGCTGAGTGGAAATACTACAACTAGAAGGAAAGAGAAAAGCACACTGAAACTCAGGAGGTGCGGAAGTAAAGTGCAGAGGTACGGAGGCGCACGCGGCAAGGGCTGGCAACGGAGGACGCCAGTGTCTTTTTCAATCGGGAGGGAGTCTCAAGCTCCCGACAGCCCTGACTCCAGTTCCGGGCGAGTCTCTGGGGACCCAGACTCATACGGGGAGAAACTGGACTGTCTGGCAGCGTGTGGAACTTGAGGGCAGCTTTCTCAGAAGTGCTTGCAGCGATTACCGAGGGACACTTAGGGCAGGACTGAGGATCTGCCATAGCTATTTACTTCGCCCTGTTGATTCCCTGAGACCCCGCCCCACCCAAGCTGCAAGCAGAGGCTTTTGCATATGAATGGGCTGGCCCTTTGAGATCTAAAATTACCTAACAGACTGCCAGACTGCCCTGGGTCAGAGAGAACCAGAACATCCAAGAGAAGGCTCAAGGCCCCACAGCAGCTTGCATTGCTTCACAGCTGGGCCTCATCTGAGCACCTCCAAACCCCAAACAAGGAAGAGGAATCTGCATATCTCTCCATAGCTCCTGCTGGGTAGCCTCAGGCAGAGGCTAAATTAGCACCTCCTTAGAGATCCAAGAGCCCGTGTACCTAGTGGTCAGAGTGGGACCATCCAGATTACAACTCCTCAGATCCATAAGGGACACACTCAGGGGCAGACTCAGTGAGCACCAAAGCCCTACTGAAGCAAGTCTTGCCCCATGAGAGTGTCTTCAGCACAGAAGTTCTCCCACTGTAGACACAGCTGATTCTCATAGACAATTGGCTTGGAGGTCAATTCCTCCCAGTGATACGAACAACAATCAAGGCTTAACTACAACAAGACTGTGCACACAGCCCACAAAGGGGTGCACCAAGAGTGTCCACATCAGGTAATTGGGGAGGCTGAGCCACTGGGCCCTATAGGACACCTAGCACACAAGCCACTCTATCAACACAGGGAAGCAGCCAAAATGCAGAGACAAAGAAACAGATCACAAATGACAGAAATGGAGGAAAGCAAACTACAGTGGGGCCTTCACTTACGGAGTTACGGAGCTCGTAACTCAAATTACTCGTATGTCAAATCAAAAAGTGAACGAATGAGACACGTAATGCTGGGCTGATGTTGGGGCGTTCACTGTGACGTTCACTGCGCCAACTAGCGGTGGGGTATCTGAAGCTGGCTTGTAACCCGAATTTTAGCTTGCAACTCAAAGCAAAAAATCGGCCGAGAGACAGCTCGTATCTCGAAAAACTCGTTAGTCGGGACACTCGTAAGTCAAGGCCCCACTGTACTGGATATAGAGTTCAAAACCACGGTTATAAGGTTTTTCAAGAATTTTCTAGAAACCACCGATAAATTTAGTGAGACCCTTGAGGATATGAAAAAGGACCAACTAGAAATTAAGCATGCACTGACTGAAATAAAGAATAATATACAGAGATCCAACAGCAGACAAGAGGATCCCAAGAATCAAGTCAAAGATTTGAAATATGAAGAAGCAAAAAATACCCAATCGGAAAAGCAAAAAGAGAAAAGAATCCAAAAATATGAAGATAGTGTAAGGAGTCTCTGGGACAACTTCAAGCGTACCAACATCCAAATTATAGGGTGCCAGAAGAAGAGAGAGAGCAAGATATTGAAAACCTATTTGAAGAAATAATGACAGAAAACTTCCCCTACCTGGTGAAAGGAATAGACTTCCAAGTCCAGGAAGCACATAGAACCCCAAACAAAAGGAATCCAAAGAGGACCACACTAAGACACATCATAATTAAAATGCCAAGAGCAAAAGACAAAGAGAGAATCTTAAAAGCGGCAAGAGAAAAAAAGTCAGTTACCTACAAGGGAGTACCCATACGACTGTCAGCTGATTTCTCAACAGAAACTTTGCAGGCCAGAAGGGAGTGGCAAGAAATATTCAAAGTGATGAATAGCAAGAACCTACAACCAAGATTACTTTATCCAGCAAAGCTATCATTCAGAAGTGAAGGTCAGATAAAGAGCTTCACTGATAAGAAAAAGCTAAAGGAGTTCATCACCACCAAACCAGTATTATATGAAATGCTGAAAGGTATCCTTTAAGAAGAGGAAGAAGAAGAAAAAGGTAAAGATACAAATTATGAACAACAAATACACATCTATCAACAAGTGAATCTAAAAATCAAGTGAATAAAAAATCTGATGAACAGAGTAAACTGGTGAATATAATAGAATCAGGGGCATAGAAAGGGAGTGGACTGACAATTATTGGGGGGAAAGGGGTGTGGGGGTGCAAGAAGAGACTGGACAAAAATTGTACACCTATGGATGAGGACAGTGGGAGGGGTAAGGGCAGAGGGTGGGGAGGGAACTGGGTGGAGGAGAGCTATGGGGGGAAAAAAGAGGAACAACTGTAATAATCTGAACAATAAATTTTATTTAAAAAATTTTAAAAAGGGTACTATTGGATTTAGTAATTACCATTTTCAGGGGAGGGACTGGGAAATAAATGGAGACGAAGTTGGGATGCAAAGGAGGGAGTTGGGACCTCTGAACCAGGAGAGCTCTGAGAGAGTGTGGCGTCTGCAGGGGCCTCTGAAGGAGATTCGGACAGGCAGAGGTAGGGTAAGGAGTGGGGGTGAGGTCAGCAGGAAGTCAGGAGGCACGTCCATTTTAGTCCATTTTATCTGCTTTTCTGTAAGTCGCTGGTGTTGCAGCAATCAGCCTGAGGCATCTTCTCACTTTGGGTCATTGTGGTTCCTCGTTGCCTGGGGCTGCAGTGCTGGGGCTTGGGGGCTTGGGGGCTGGGGGTGCAAGGTTTGCTCAGCTCCCTCCAGGGAGAGGAAGCAGCAGGGCTCTGTCCAAATGGGTTTAGTCCTGCCTTTGGAATCTGTTTCCCGGTGAGGACATGACATCTGCTCAGAGGTGTGGTTCTCAGAGGGCGGTGTCCAGATCAACAGCACCAGCAGTGTCTGGAGAGGCCTCCTCGGACGGGGGTGAGGGTGGGGTAGGGTGGGGGGTGTTCCTCAGAAATTGCATTTCTAATGAATTCTCAGGTGGTGCTGCTGGTCCAGGGACCACACTTTGAGAACCACTTGCTGAGAAGAGCTAGAAGTACTTCTCCCCTGAGTCATGGGTGACATTGGTACTAGCAGGCACAGCCTGCTCTGAGTATCCACAAAGCGGTGGTCAGGACTTACTGGGGCAGCTACACCCTGGGCTCAGGCTACCCTTGGAGGGGATGGGTGCTGCCCCCGAAACAGGGAAACGAGGCCCCAGGGCTGGCACAGAGCAGAGCTCCTCGGGGTCACGCAGGGTCTGGGCAAGCTGCTTGGTGGGCAGGGGGTACGCTGTCTCTTGGCGGGTGTGTGACCTTGGGCAGGTAACCAGCATCTCACAGCCTCAGTGTCCCCGTTGTGGAGTGAGGTTTCCTGGCTGGGAGGTCCTATTGGCCTCAGGGACCGTGTTTAGTATTAAATGTCCCACCTTAGAAAGATCAGGCCCATCTCTCTCCTCTCCCATGCATCTTCCCTCCCTAGACAGTCACCATTTAATCCAAAACACAGCCTCCCTTCCACCATCGATCCCCATCTCTCAGAGAGAAATGTCTCTGATTGCTGCCCCGAGAAAGCCATTCTGCAGTTGGGTCCAGCGCCCTGGGCACCCTCCTTCCTGGCTCCAGCCTTCTCCGCAGCCCTGCCAACCTGCAGAGCACTCGCCTCGCATGCTAAATTGGACAAGCTGTCTAGACAGTACGTGCTCCTCCGTGCGTTTTACTCCAAGGGTACAGCGGAGTGATGTCAGCACCCCTCGTGCTGAGGGTGTGTCCAGCACCAGGCAGTCACAGGGAGTCACGGGGCAGGAAAGGGTTTATCCAGACAGCGCCCGTGTTCCCTGTCAGGCGACATCCCCCACGGCAGTGACGCCGGTGACAGATGCCAAGTGGAGCAGGTCCAGATAAATTCCACAGCCCCCTTGGGAAGGGAAGGGAAGGAAAACCCCTCATCTTGTCTGGTCTCCATGGGAGCTGCCCGGGGCAGTCTCTGTTCTCACAGGGCCATTCTGTCATCCCCGAGCATTTTGAAGCAGAGCCTGATTCTGATTGCTCAAGATTCTCTCTTCTTAAAAACAACAACAACCCTTCCTCCACCCCTCTCTGCTCCAGCCCCGCTTCCTTCCCACATAGCAAGCTTCTCCGCAGAGCTTTTACCCTTGCTGTTTCTTTCTCCTCCTCCTCCTCCTCCTCCTCCTCCTCCTCCTCCTCCTCCTCCTCCTCCTTCTTCCCCTTCCCCTTCCCCTTCCCCTTACCCTTCCCCTTCCCCTTCCCCTTCCTCTTCTTCTTTTTTAAATCCTCACCCGAGGATATTTTTCCATTGATTTTCAGAGAGAATGGAAGAGAGAGAGAAAGACAGAGAGAAATATTGATGTGAGAGAAACACATCAAATGAGCCAGGGAGGTGCCTGCAACTGAGGTATGTGCCCTTGATCAGAATCGAACCCCGGACCCTTCAGTCCGCAGGCTGATGCTCTATCCACTGAGCCAAACCAGCTAGAGCTGTTTCTACTGCTTCCTGTCCGGCTCCTCCATGGTTCCCTGATGCCTGGCCTCTGTCCCCGCCGCTGGTCTGACACTTTCTCACCTAGGAACCAGGGGCCGCGGAATCGGAATCACTGTGCCAAGGGCCCACCTCAGTCCTTATTTTCCTAGAGTTCTCTGGTGTGTCTGGCCCAGCTGACCGACCGTGCCTTCTGGAAAATCTGTCCTTACCTTCTGGGCTTCCTCCAACGTCTCTATTTCTTCTTCTCGTCTCCTCCATGCACCCCTCCTTGCCCTGTCACCCTTTCATGAGGATGACCCCAGGGCCCTGGCCTTAGTCCCAGCCCTTCTCACTCAGGGCAATTTCCTCTGAATTACATCTGCCCCTAGGCCTCAACCTGTACTTCTGTGCACACGAGAGCCCCACCCACATGGAGGCCTGGCTCAGACCTCACCTGACCTTTTATCCCACTTGGATGTTCTGTAGGCATCTCAAACCCAGCATTCAAACCTGAACTGATGAGCTTTCCCCAGACCCTCCTCTGTCCACGCTCCCTCCCCTGAGACTGTCCACCTGGTATAGAAAATTGGAGAAGCAGCCCTGGCCGGTTTGACTCAGTGGGCAGAGCGTCGACCTGTAGACTAAAGGGTCTGGGTTCCATTCCGGTCAAGGGCCTGTATCTCCGTTGCAGACTCCTCCCGGCCCAGGCCCTGATTGGGCACGCGTAGGAGGCAACCAATCTATGTGTCTCTCTCACATTGGTGTTTCTCTCTCTCTGTCTCTCCCCCTCCCTTTCATTCTCTCTGAAAAATCAGTGGAAAAATATCCTCGGGTGAGGATTAACAAAAAAAGAAAGAAAATTAGAGGAGCAGATGAGAAATTGGACATAGATAAAGAAGAAAACAAAGTGTCCACAGTCCCGGCACACAGAAGCCCCTCCTCTAACTGCTTGGGTGAACTTTTTTTTTTTTTTTTTAATATATTTTTTATTGATTTTTTACAGAGAGGAAGGGAGAGAGATAGAGAGTTAGAAACATCGATGAGAGAGAAACATCGATCAGCCGCCTCCTGCACACCCCCTACTGGGGATGTGCCCGCAACCCAGGTACATGCCCTTGACCAGAGTCAAACCTGGGACCTTTCAGTCCGCAGGCCGATGCTCTATCCACTGAGCCAAACCGGTTTTGGCTGGGTGAACTGCTTTTAATGTTTTCAATGGTTGTGATATTCCAACTCTCCCACTTACCATTTCAGCATAAGAATGCTCCCGTGTTGTTACCAACTCTGCCCGACTTACTATTTTAAACCTGTTTGGAACAGATCACACATTCCAACAGAACAAAAGGGGATATAGTAAAAAGTGGGTCTCCCTCCCACCCCCCCACCCCCACCCCCGCCCCCAAGTCACCCAGTTCCCTCTGCAAGGCAGCTGCCATCCCAGGCACTCGCAGATCCTTCTAGTGATATTGCGTGCCCACCCAGGAGCGCACACAATGCCACCCACCCTTTTCTACACATAGAACAGCACCCTGTTCTACACCTTCCCTTTGTATTTAACAACTCTCTTGGGAATGATTTCAGAGAGAGCTGCCTCGTTCTCGCTTCCCAGCCTTAGTGCTCCACTGTGTGGCCATACATCAGGTTATTAAACTCCCCCTCCCCCCGAGACACATTTGCATTATTGCCTGTCCTGGTGACTAGAAATCAGCCTGCAGTGAGGCAGCCCTGGGGTGGGGCCCTGGGGTGGGGCCCTGGCCAGGAGACGGGGTGATGGATGGGAAAGAAATTTTGAAGGAAGAATTGGTGAGGCTGAGAGTGAGAAAAGAGAAGTGACAAGCTTGGAATAGGGAGCGAGGTGACAGGAGGAAACGCTGGTTGCAGGTCCATGAGGAGTCTCATTCTGAGCCAGATCAGGGGCTTCTAACTCAGGCCCAAAGCCCAGGAGGGAGGTTGAAGGCCAGAGTCATGGGCCAGGGAGTGAGCTCACAGCCAAGGACAGACACTGTGCAAAGAGAGAGAAAGAACACTAGCCAGTTTCGGCTCAGCAGATAGAACGTCGCCCTGAAGACCGAAGGGTCCTAGGTGTGATTCCGGACAAGGGCATGGACCTCGGTTGCAGGCTCCTCCCCGGCCCAGGCCCTGGTCAGGGCTCGTGCAGGAGGCAACCAACCAATGTGTTTCTCTCACATCTGTATTTCTCTCTGCCTTTCCCTCTCTCTTCCACTCTCTCTGAAAATCAATGGAAAAAATATCCTCAGGTGAGGATTTAAAAAAAAAAAAAAAGAGCGAGAGAAAGACATCTTATGCTCGTTTTACAGGCCATAAAAAGCGGTGGACTCTTTCCTGCCTCTCTACCACAACACAGGTGGTGAGGGGAGGAAGAGGGATGGCTGGGCAGATGGTCAATATTTAGAGGGGACAGACGTGCCTCTGGAGAGGCCACAGATGCAATCCCATGCACTGAATGCAGAGCTGCTTCCCTGACCCTGTCAGGCCTCTGAGAGGCAAGGCCTTGGGTGGAGAGGCTGCCTGGTATCCCTGCGGCCCTGCCTGGTCCCAGCCACCCACCTGCCTCTCACCCGGGGCCTCCGCTCTTCCTGCAGGTTCTGCCCATCATTGTCTTCTTCAGCTGCGTCATGTCCATTCTCTACTACCTGGGCCTCATGCAGTGGCTGATCCTGAAGGTGAGTCCCCACACCGTGGCCTGGGCTCTCCCAGAGACACCTGCTCCGGGGGTTCACACTCTCCCAGAATGCCTTGCTCCCATGGCTCAAACCCTCCCCCAACCCCCGAGCCTTTCTCCAATCTACTGCTAACCAAATATCTTTTCACAGAGTCTGTTGTCATGATACTAGGCAGACATGGCGCCACAATCCAGGGTGATCTTTGTGGGAGGGAAGTTTGTAGAATGGAGGGTGCATTGAGAAGAAATGTTAGAGGAAAAAAAATAATTCATACCGAAAAATCTTGTGAGACTGGAGCAGGGGCCACATGGGCCAGACTTAGCTGGTGTAAATGCCAAATCCTGTGCTTATGTTCATATCTGCTGCACAAAATCAGGATGCAGGAGACAGCATTGCACCAGGCCAAAGATTATGAGTTTTTAGCTGATTGAGCTCAGAATAAACCAATACCATCAGGTGACTGCCGGGAATGCAGAAACCGCCTGCGGTTATGTTAAGTGTTCACAGGGTGTGGCATGAGGGAGGCAAGGACACCTCAGTTTGGAGAATGTGTTTAACCAAGGGGCTATGGCAAACTGAACCATCAGAGAGAGAGAGTGCAGGGCCGAACATACGCTCCACGGACTGGCTGGAGGAGGTAGGGATGATGGGCCTGGGAAAGAGAAGTCCCGGGTGGAGGAGGCTGTGGATAGGATAGCTGTCTCCAAACATGGAGGGAAGGGGCAGTTTAGGAGGTACCAGCAGTGAGGAGAAATTCCAGAGAAGCAGATTTCATCTTGATTGAAAGGAAGAACTTTCTAATATAGCGTTTCCAAAGCCTTATTCACGAAACTCTGGTTCCATAGCAGCTTAGTAAATGCTACTAGGTAAAGGGATCCCACAGTAAAATGGTTTTGTTTGTGTTTTTTTGGTGCTAACAAATTTAAACAAGTCTTGTGCGGGACTTGTCAGAGCCTTTACTGAGCTAATATGTAGTAGTTATCTCCAAGGTGTGTGTGTGTGTGTGTGTGTGTGTGTGTGTGTACAGTAATTCTCAAATATATTTGACCAAGGAATCCTTTTTTTCATGGATGGTAAGTCCCCATCAATGGAGGTTTGGAAGGGGAAGATGAATGGACCTTTTGGAGGACATGTAGGGGAGGGGGCTCCTGCGTGGGTTGGGAGTTGGAAGGAAGCCTCGTAAGGTAACTCCTGACTCTGCCTCTGGGACTTGCTGATGCCGGCCCTGCTTGCTCCTAGATTGCCTGGCTGATGCAGGTCACCATGCGCACCACCGCCCCTGAGACCCTGAGCGTGGCCGGAAACATCTTTGTGAGCCAGGTGGGTCCTGCACCTCCTGCTGTCATGCCTGTCAGCAGCCTCCCCATGGAGACCAGCTGTCCTGGGTCCCTGGAGCTCTGATTTAGTCAGTAGAAGAGCCATTGAACCTTCTCCCAGGGTCACCAAAGACGGCTGCCCCAGGGATGCACATCTGGGTCATGCCAGGGAGGATGCTCTCTGGCACCTCCTACTGCTCTGGGCCTAGGCTGCCTTCATCAGCATAGAGACTCACAAATCCTAGAGATGGAATCTAACGTTCCCCTTTTATACACGAGGAAACCGAGGCTCAAGGGTAGGAATGACTGGCCAAGATCCAACAAGATAAGCCAGGACTTAGAATCCCATTTTTTTAAGTTCCTGACCAGGATTCTTTCTACTACATCCTTTTGTCTTCCTTTACCCCTTCCTCTTTCTGAAAATGTATTTTTCATAGTAAGTGTGACTCTGAAGGCATGGCTAGTCCCGAGTTCCTCCCTTTCAGAAGGCCTGACCCTCCTGGGGGCGAGTCTCTGCAGACCATTCCAGGATCCAGGCCCATCTGTCACCAAAAGACATACTTGCCTTTCTTTCTGGCAACCCCCAGGCTTCATTAAAAGCTCAGCCTGGCCGGCATGATTCAGTGGTTTAATCATCAACCTATGAACCAGGAGGTCACATTTCAATTCCCAGTCAGGGCACATGCCCAGTTTGTGGACTTGATCCCAAGTGTGGGACGTGCAGGAGGCAGCCAATCAATGATTCTCTCTCATCATTGATGTTTCTCTCTCTCTTCTCTCTCTCTCTCTCTCTCTCTCTCTCCCTCTCTCTCTCCCTCTCCCTCTCCCTCTCCCTCTCCCTCTCCCTCTCCCTCTCCCTTTCTCTCTGAAATCAATAAAAATCCTATATAATAAAAGGGTGATATGCAAATTGACCCTATCAGCAGAACAACCAGAACAACTGCTGGACCAGTCACTCTGGGGCTCACTGACCACCTCTTGGTCCCTTTCCCCAGCCAGCAGGCTCCAATCGCATGCTGGCCACCTGTGGCAGGGGCAGGGCTGGCGAGTGGGTGGGAAAAACTGACCTCTTGGTTCCTTCCCCCAGCTGTAAGGCAACGATCACCTGATGGCGAATAGGGAACCGGGGGGAGGGAGGGTGGCAGCGGGGGTCGGGACCGGCTGCGGGCAGCTGGGGAAGAGGCCCTGATCGCAGGTCAGGCCTAGGGACTGTACCTGTGCATAAATTTCATGCACCGGGCCTCTAGTATATTTTAAAAAAACAAAAAATTCAGACCCAAATTACATCTGCTCCTGGCCCTTTGCATGAAAAGAGGTCATTCTTTGAACCTCTCTTATCCTCTATTTGTTCTCCTGAAAAAAGGGCATGATGTCTTCCTTCTCAGAAGGTTGTGAGTAATAACTGTGAGGTGCTTGGACCTGGTAGGAGCTTGACACAGGAGCATTATCAGGCCAAGTGGCAGGGCTGGGGGTCCTTGTACAGAGCCAGTCTGACGCAGATGTTCAGAGTGATTCAGTCAAGTACAGACCACAGTCTTCACCCCACCTGCTATCTCTTCCCCTGTGACCCCCAGCACTCACTGGGAGCTGCCCACTCCGGTGGGGAGGGAACTCGCCAGGTTCCTGTGCTGGTCCGGCCAGTTCTGTTTGTCTGATACCTTTCCTGCTTGCAGACCGAGTCTCCTCTGCTGATCCGGCCCTACTTGGAGGACATGACGCTCTCTGAAATCCACGTTGTCATGACCGGAGGCTATGCCACCATTGCCGGCTCCCTGCTGGGTGCCTACATCTCCTTTGGGGTATGAACACACTCCTGAAAGGGAGTGTAATTTGCTGTCAGTTTTAAAATACTTTCCCTTGATCCAGTTAGGAATGTCGGGATACAGAAATATTTTCACAAGGGGTCAAATATGCAAAATTCTATTATTATTTGCAATAGAAGAACAAAACAAAACAAGAAACGACCTACATGTCAAGCAGTGAGGGGATGAGTTGGGTAAATTTATCCATACAATGCTATGCCACAAGCCCCTACAGCAGAGGTTCTCAACCTGTGGGTCACAACCCCTTTGGCGGTCGAACGACCCTTTCACAGGGGTCGCCTAAGACCATCCTGCATATCCGATATTTACATGACAATTCATAACAGTAGCAACATGACAGTTATGAAGTAGCAATGGAAATAAACTGTATTTAAAGGGCCAGAAGGTTGAGAACCACTGCCCTAGAGTGAGGTGGGCCGTGGCCTGCCTTTCACTGTCCCTGATGCTGTGTATGTATGCGTCGAGGGATGACAGAATGACCCCCACTGTCCTCTTCTCTGGTCCCAAATTCCACCTCTCATCTCTGTCCTTGGGGGTGGCCAAGGGACAAGCCAGACTGCCCCTCAGCACTTTCTCCCTCAGGACACTGGGCTGCACTAGTCAGCTCAGCTCCACACCCCACAGAACTGCCTGGGCAGAGAGGTGGCTCTGTGACCTCAAGAAGTTCTCTTGTCTTTGTCTTCCGGCCTGGCACCCTCCCATCTAGAATTTTCGAGGTCACCTGCTTCACACTGAGGCTTAGGGAAGGTCCATCAGAGCTGGTGCACCCCCCACCCACTCCACCTCCAATTGATTTAGGAAGGCGTTTGATATGTCAAAACTGGAAACTCAAAACTGTTCCCGAAGCTTTTTTTCATGGTGTCGTATTAGGGGCGGGAATGCCATAATATTTTCAGGACTCATAATATTTTGAGGACTTAGGGCCTTTGACTGTCTTAACCTGGTTCTAGGTCTCACAGCCAGTTAAAAGAATGGTCTTCTTTCTGCTGCATCCATGTGGCTGCCCTTACTTCAGGCTAAAATCCTGGAAACTGTCCCTTTTCCACAACCTGCCTTACAACTCATCCTGCTCTCCTTCCCCTTCTCGGGCAGGAGTCCAGGGCGGCCCCAGGCAGCAGGGGCCTGGGTGCCCACTTGCCTGTAGCTCTACAGCATGTTCAGAGGCTGCCAGGACCAGCCAGATGACCAGGGTCTCCATTCACAGCCTGTATCTGGCAGCCCCCAGGCTAACCGCCCAGCTGGCCCAGGTGAAAAGCACCTACTAGAGAAGTTTGGTATCAGAGAAGCTCTCTTCTGCCCCCACCTGGCTCTTGGCCGCCACTGCAGCAGCCTCGGACCTTCTCCCACAGCCCTGCCTTCTTCCCACCCTCTCCCCTCTCCTTTCACTCCCTCCTCAAGGCACTTCCTCACTGTATCCTTGCTCTGCCCTCAGCCTCTGACTTACAGGAAGATCCCTCTTGTTCTCTCCTCCTTTCTCATTGTTGCTCAGCTTCTGGATCCCTCTGCCCTGCACCTTCCTATTGCTAATATCTGGATATTTCTAGACGCACATTGTCCAACCCAGTAGCCATGAAGCCACACATGGCTGGCTATGGAGCACTTGAAGTGGGGCTGGTCTGAAATGAGATCTGCTCTGAGACTTAGTATGGAAAAAGTCCATATATTGTATTAATAAGTTTAATATTGATGACATGGGTGGAGAGATAATATTTGGGATAGAGTGGGTTAAATAAAATGTATTATTAAAATTAATTTTACCTGTTTCTTTTTAATTGGCTACTAGAAACTTTAAAGTCAAAGATGTGGTTCTCATTGTATTTGCCTTGGACAGTGCTTATCTAGACCTTCTCTCTGGTCTGGGACCCTAGGGGTTCTTGACTGAATTCTTTCATGGTGGCCTGCACATGGTACATCTCCCTCTACACCATATTTTCCAAAAGCTCTAATGCAGGCACCCACTCTCTTCACTAATCCTGGAAACCGGTCTCTCTACCCACCCCTCTGGTTCAGGAGCCACCGCGAGAGGAGATTAAGATGTGTGCCAGGCCCTAACCGGTTTGGCTCAGTGAATAGAGCGTCAGCCTGCGGACTCAAGGGTCCCAGGTTCGATTCCGGTCAAGGGCATGTACCTGGGTTGCGGGCACATCCCCAGTAGGATGTGTGCAGGAGGCAGCTGATCTATGTTTCTCTCTCATCGATGTTTCTAACTCTCTATCCCTCTCCCTTCCTCTCTGTAAAAAATCAATAAAATATATTTTTTAAAAAAAGATGTGTGCCAGGAGCTGTGGACACGCCAGGCAGGGTGACACTGAGGAGCGGGCAGTGCCACTGATGCTCCTTAGTCAGTTGTGCAAGAGTGGGGCACAGGTCAGCGGGGTCCTGAGTGAGGCCAAGTGAACATCCACTACTTAGTTTCAACATCTGTAAGATGGGCGAGATTACTGCCCACCGCACAGCAGCTTAAGAACTAAATGCAATATCATGCAATTAGCATGATATTGAAGACATGGTAGTTACTTCTCTGACATAGTAGGGTCAGAAATACCTCCTCCTGAAACAGACCAGTGTCATGCTCTGTAGTTGTCTGGATGTATTTTCTTTCTCAGTAAAGATCTTTCTTAAAAATATATATTTTTATTGATTCCAGAGAGGAAGGGAGAGGGAGGGAGTGATAGAAACATCAATGATGAGAGAGAACCATTGATTGGCTGCCTCCTGCACACCCCCTACTGTGGATCGAGCCTGCAACCCAGGCATGTGTCCTTGGCCGGAATCGAACCCGGGACCCTTCAATCCCCCGGCCGACGCTCTAGCCACTGAGCCAGGGCCTCAGTAAAGATCTTTTTGAAAATTCAAATGGAGAGCTCATGCCCTGTATCCCTCTCTGACCTGGGCCTTGGGGGGTTGGAACAGAAGGCATTCCTGACCGGGTATCTGGGATATCATGGCCCTGAGAAGCAGCTGGCCTGGCCGGGGGGCGGGGGGGGGGAGCGTGTATGGGCTGGCCCAGTGGCCCAGGGAGCCCGGCCTGGGCAGGACTCACCCCTTTTCAAGATGAGCAGGACATGTCCAGCTGTGGCCTTTGAGGCTGTGGCCACGACTGCCTCACAGCATTGCAGCTTAAATTTACCTCCCCTCCTTCTTGTCCTTTTTATTTAAAATTTAAGAACTGCAGCCCTAGCCAGTTTGGCTCAGCAGATAGAGCATCGCCTGCCGACTTAAGGGTCCCGGGTTCGATTCCGGTCAAGGGCATGTACCTCGGTTCCAGGCTCTGGTGTTAGGCAACCAATTGATGTGTCTCTTTCACACTGATATTTCCCTCTCTCTCTGTCTCTCCCCCTTCCTTCCACTCTCTAAAAAAATAATAAAATAAAATTTAAGAACTGCAGTTGACTTATTATAAAATTTAAAAAGAAGAAGTCTATTTTACTTTTCTGTTTATAAAAGCAATATATATCCTTGTGAAATTTTCAAAACACACAAAAAAGCAGAAAGAAAAGAAAATCACACTTGGCTTTCCAGGGGCAGCGAAAACTGGTTGCCACTGTGGTGTCTTTCTTTCTGGTCTTATAGCTCCGGAGCTTGCTTTCCCGCATCATTGTGGTTATGCTCTATATGCAATTTTGTGGTCATTTCCCCTGTGATCGTGAAGCTTTGGTAACCATTGTTTTCTATGGCAGCTTGACCATTGTTATGTGTTTGGCTTGGCTCTAATTTCCCCATTTGGTAAATAACACAGTGGAAGAGAACAGGGGAGCAGAGGGGTTGGGGCCACCACGAGGATAGAAATCCAGGAAGGGACAGTCCTGGGGCTCAGGTGGCTCTGCCATCTTGCCGGGAAGGGTTTCGAAGCATGGCTCCAGAGACATCAGGACCCAGGGCCAAAGGGTGGCTGTGGTGGGAGGTAGATTTCCTGAGAAGAGCTCTCCAACCCAGGAGTGGGTGTGATGGGCTCCCTTGAAGAGGTGAGTATTCAAGAAGCGATCTTGCCACCCTAACCGGTTTGGCTCAGTGGATAGAGTGTCGGCCTGCGGACTGAAGGTTCCCAGGTTTGATTCCGGTCAAGGACATGTACCTTGGTTGCGGGCACATCCCCAGTAGGGGGTGTGCAGGAAGCAGCTGATCGATGTTTCTAACTCTCTACCCCTCTCCCTTCCTCTCTGTCAAAAATCAATAAAATATATGTATTTTTTAAAAAAGTGATCTTGCCTTAGCCAGTTTGGCTCAGTGGATAGAGCATTGGCCTGAAGATTGAAGAGTCCCAAGTTCGATTCCGGTCAAAGATACATACCCAGGTTTCGGGCTCGATCCCCAGTAGGGGGCATGCAGAAGGCAGCCGATCAATGATTCTTTCTCATCATTGATGTTTTTATCTCTCCCTCCCTCTCCCTTCCTCTCTCAAATCAATAAAAATATATTAAGAAGCAATCTTATATAGGGAGGACATTCCTACAGTCTGAGGTTGAATTAGGTCACCTCTTGGATCCATTTCAACTCTCATGTTCTGTGAACTTTGTCTGAAACCATCACAAACCCCTCCACCAGTGGCCAACGAGTCCTTGTATGAATGGTCAAAGGGAGACAGCCCAGAAGAGAAGGATGAACTTTGAACTTTGAGCCAAAAGGCCTGATGGGTTCTAATTCTTTGTCTTCCTCTATATTGGGCAAGTCAGACTTAATCCTTTGGGGACTCCCTTTCCTTCTTTATAAAATGGGGTAACACTACAGTTGTCTCTTGAACAGCATGAGTTTGAACAGTCTGGACCCACTTTGACAGGGATATTATTCAGTAAGTACTATATTTTCCCTTTTTCATGATTTTCTTTTCTCTATTGTAAGGATACAACATACAAAATATGTGTTAATTGACTGGTATTGGTAAGGCTTCCGGTTAACAGCAGGTTACGAGTAGTTAACTTTTGGAGGAGCCAGAAGTTATATGCAGATTTTTGACTATTTTTGACTGGTGTTCGGTGTCCCTGACCCCCGCTTTCTCAAGGGTCAACTGTACTCATCCGTCTGACTTACAGACACTCTGGGGGAAATATGAGCTCTGTACTATAGCCTGGGGCCCGCTGCACATAAAAGGAACTATAATGGACAAAGGTGGCAGCAGTTCAGACAATAATGACAGCCCAGTGGGGCTGAGTACAGTGGCCCCTGCTGCCCGGGGCCGCACTGCTTGGCCCCCACGTCCTCCTATAACCCCCATCTCCCTCTTGCAGATCGACGCCGCCTCTTTGATTGCTGCCTCTGTGATGGCCGCGCCGTGCGCGTTGGCCCTTTCCAAGCTGGTCTACCCGGAGGTGGAGGAGTCCAGGTTCAGGAAACAGGAAGGAGTGCAGCTAAGCTCCGGGTGAGCACAGCAGGACTCTTGCTGGTGGGGAGGTGGGGACAGGAGCAGAGGCAGGAGACAGCAGTGGGTCCCATGTTCTCTGCCCTTCCACCAAGCCCAGGCTCACCTCTTGCCTTAAACTGCCCCCTTTGTGGCTTCGCTTAGAAAAACGCGAACTCCAGTTCTTGCATCTTAATTTCCATGTTGGAACAGCAGGAAACAATGGGCTGGTCAAGGCATGGGAGAGTGGCCTGGGTCTTGTGTGGTGAGGAGGGTCTTGCCACCTTCTCCACAAACCTTGAGCTCTGACCACCAGTGTGTCAATCACATATTCACTTCCTGAGCGCTGTCCCGGATCTCACTCACCTCCTAACATCTCTTCATCATGTTCTTAATAGCTGCCGAGTAACATCTATCCTTTAAAAATGTTGAAAAGGGTCCTAGCCAGTTTGGCACGGTGGATAGAGCGTTGGCCTGCAGACTGAAGGGTTCTGGCTTCTATTCTGGTCAAGGGCACATGCCCAGGTTGTGGGCTCGATCCCCAGTAGGGGGCCTGCAGGAGGCAGCCAATCAATGATTGTTTTTCATCACTGATGTTTCTATCTCTCTCTCCCTCTCCCTTCCTCTCTGAAATCCATCAATATATATATATTTTTAATATATTTTATTGATTTTTTACAGAGAGGAAGGGAGAGAGATAGAGAGTTAGAAACATCGATGAGAGAGAAACATCGATCAGCTGCCTCCTGCACATCTCCTACTGGGGATGTGCCCCCAACCCAGGTACATGCCCTTGACCGGAATCGAACCTGGGACCCTTCAGTCCGCAAGCCGACACTCTATCCACTGAGCCAAACCGGTTTCGGCCCATCAAAATATATTTAAAAAATAAATAAAAATCTTGAAAAGATATCACTTTTGACAAATGAGCGTGGGGATACAGTATGCTCACAACGCCCTGAAGGTCGAGAGCAGCACTGCTTTATAGAAATATGATTTAAAATTTTCTAGTCGCTGTCTTTTAAAAAGTAAAAAGAAGCAGGAGAGTTTAATAAAATACTTTATTAACCCAATATATCCAAAATATTATCTTCTCAACATTTTAATAAAATGATTTGTTTTCCTATTGAATTTTTTGGTACTAAATCTCTAAAAACCTAGTGTGTGATTTCCACTTACCACACACCTCAGCTCTGAGCAGTCTCCTTTCCAGTGCTCCGAAGCCACATGTGGCTCGTGGCTCCTGTTGTGGGCTGCTCTGCCCTGGAAGCCTGGGTCTCCTCCTGGTGCTGGGACCAGCCCTTCTCTCTGTGTGTGTCAAAGGGCAAAAACAAGGACCTTCGGCTCTGAACTACATTGTCCAGGGTTCTTCTCTGACCCCATAGGACAGTGATGGCGAACCTATGACACGCGTGTCAGAGGTGACACGCGGAACTCACTTTTTTTGGTTGATTTTTCTTTGTTAAATGGCATTTAAATATATAAAATAAATATCAAAAATATGTCTTTGTTTTACTATGGTTGCAAACATCAAAAAATTTCTCTATGTGACACGGCACCAGAGTTAAGTTAGGGTTTTTCAAAATGCTGACACGCCGAGCTCAAAAGGTTCGCCGTCACTGCCATAGGATGAGAGGCCTCGCTGTGTGCGGGGTCAGGCCAATAAGATGACTCTTGATCCCAACAACAGAGATGCTCAGAACATCTTAGAAGCCGCCAGCAGCGGGGCCGCCATCTCTGTGAACGTCATTGCCAACATTGTGGCCAACCTGATCGCCTTCCTGGCCGTGCTGGACTTCATCAACGCTACCTTCTCCTGGCTGGGGGACATGGTGAACATCCAGGGGCTCAGCTTCCAGGTACAGCCCCGGCCGACCCCCATGGCCTGGGGAGGGGACAGTCCTGGGCAGTGGGTGGTGGTGGACATTCAGCAGAGCCCAGGCCAGCCGGGGTCCCAGCAGCTCCCCTTGCCTTGTGTCTCAGCTCATCTGCTCCTACATCCTGCGGCCGGTGGCTTTCTTAATGGGAGTGGCCTGGGAGGACTGCCCAGTGGTGTCCGAGCTGCTGGGGATCAAGCTGTTTCTGAACGAGTTTGTGGCCTATGAGAAGCTCTCCAAGTACAAGCACCGCCGCCTTGCTGGGGTTGAGGAGTGGATCGGCGGCGAGAAGCAGTGGATCTCCGTGAGTGTCCGGTCCCCTCCCTGAGGCAGGAGCATGACCCAGCTGTTCTTCCTGCTCCCTGGGCCCTGCGTTCCACCTCCCACATCCTACTGCCCTGGGCCCAAGACGGCTTCGGGGCTCACGGCCATCACCTTGGGTCCTCAGGAGGCTGAGGTGCAGGGAAGGAGCCTTGTTGGGGATGTGGGAGATCTGGCCATAGATGGGCTACCATCCTGTGTGGCCTTGGGCCAGCCGCTGCTCCTTGCCTCTCTAGAAAAACTGGTGTAACACCTGCTATATCTACCCCGAAGGAATAGGTATGAGCCTCCAGTGAGCCCTGAGGGTGAAGTAGGGAGACCTTACCACTATAGCCGCTGTCAGTACATTGCATTCAGTTCAGGGGTTGGCTCTTTCTGTTAAAATTTATTTTTAAAACTATAAAAGCTATAAAATGAACCTTTGTAAAAGAATTCAAGCTCCATGTAACATCATCAGGAATGAAAAAGTTACCAATCTCACACCAGCCTAAAATAATAGCTATTGTTGTATACAGTTTCTTCTATTCTTTTAAAGATAATTTGTATAGTTTTCATTTTAGTATTCAAAGTCTATTGTAGCCAGCTTTTCTCACCTACTATTATGACATAAGCATCATTTAAAAAGTATACTATATATATTTTTGTATTGATTTCAGAGAGGAAGGGAGAGAGATAGAGAGAGATAGAAACATCAATGATGAGAGAGAATCATTGATTGCTACCTCCTGCACATCTCCTACTGGGGATTGAGCTATAACCCGGGCATGTGCCCTGACCAGGAATCAAACCATGACCTCCTGGTTCATAGGTTAACACTCAACCACTGAGCCAGAACTGGGCTAAGCTTCATTTAAAAAAAAAAATTTTATTGATTCAGAGAGGAAGGGAGAGGGAGAGAGGGATAGAAACATCAATGATGAGAGAGAATCATGGATCGGCTGCCTTCTGCACGTCCCCCACTTGGAATCGAGCCCACAACCCAGACATGTGCCCTTGACTGGAATTGAGTTAGGGACCCTTCAGTCCACAGGCCGATGCTCTATCCACTGAGCCAAACCAGCTAGGGCTAAGCTTCATTTTTGATATCTGTATTCTCACACATTACACATATCAAAAATGATATTGATTTATCATCAGTTCAGGTGAATTCCGTTATTTGGCAATCATGCACAATGCTGAAGGGGATAGGTTTGTTTACAGAACTTTTCCCTGCTCTCGGATCATTTCCTCAGGAGCTTTTCCAGATGTGGATGACTCAAGTCACGGGGCGTGAGTCCTCCTGTGGTTGCTGCCAGTAACTTTCCCAAAGGGTTGTAGCAACTGAAATCACCCCCAGCTGTGCCTGTGAGCAATGCCTTCACCACATGCTGAAGAGCACTGAGTCGCCTCTTAAAAAAAGAAGTTCTGCTAGTTGAATGGGCAAATAATAGCTCATGGTGTTCATTGATGTTTCTTGGGTTACTAGGAACTTTTAACATGAAATATTCTTTTTGTCTTTTAATTGTAAAGGAATGTACTCTTTTTTAAAAAAAAAAGTTTATATGGAGTAAAAAGCACAGATTCCTCTCACTCCTCATCCTCAGCTCCTCTCTCACTCTCTTCTGTAGAGATAGTGGATGGTACACTCATTCAGGACCATTTAAAAAAATCCTTACCCGAAGATATGTTTATTGATTTTTTGAGAGAGAAAGGGAGGGAGAGAAACATCGATGTGAGAGAGAAACATTGATCTGTTACCCCCCCACACACACTCCCCCTGATCGGGGATCGAACCTGCAACCTTTTGGTGTATGGTAAGTATGTACCCTGGTCGGGAATCAAACCCAAAACCTTTTGGTGTATGGGACGATGCTCCAACCAACTGAGCCACCCAGCCAGAGCAGGGTCATTTTTTCATGAACTTCATTCCTTTGGCAAGTATTTGTTGAGACTTCTGAGGTGCCATGCATTCTGTGAGGTACCAGGAATAGAAAGGGGAGTCAGACAGATCCTGGTGTCATGGAACTTACATCTAGTGAAGGACACAGGTAAAACAAAAGAAAGCAAAAGAATAAAAAATAAAATAACGACAATTCGTGGTTTTATGAAGGAGACTCCAGGAGGAAATGGGGGAGAGAGGGAGATCTTTATTGGCTGGTCAGGAAAGGACTCTCTGTAATATGGAATTTAGGCCAAGACTTGGAGGGAGGAGAGGGGGCCAGGAGAAGCTGGGCAAAGCATTCCCAGGAAAGAGGTATGTGCAAAGGCCCTGAGGTTGAAAAGCACTTGTTTAGAGAACTGAGAGGAGAGAGTGCAGGTAGAGAAGGTGGTAATCATAAAAGACAGTGGCACAGGCCAAGGAGCAGTAGGATATTACTGACAATTTGACATTTCACATTTTAAGAGTACTTGGGTTGCTATATGGAGGGTGACTATAGGTGAGCAAGCAGGATGCAGGAGTCTTATTATTTATTATTTTTTAAGTCTGTTTTTTTAAATATATATGAATATATATATATATGTATATATATATATATATTTCAAAGAGGGAGAGAGAGATATAAACATCAATGATGAGAGAGAATCATTGATAGGCTGTCTCCTGCACGCCCCCTACTGGGGATCGAGCCCACAACCCTGGGCATGTGCCCTTGATCAGAATCGAACCCGGGACCCTTCAGTCTACAGGCGGACACTCTATTCACTGAGTCAAACCAGCTAGGGCAGTGATGGCGAACCTATGACATGCGTGTCAGAGGTGACACGCAAACTCATTTTTTTGGTTGATTTTTCTTTGTTAAATGGCATTTAAATATATAAAATAAATATCAAAAATATAAGTCTTTGTTTTACTATGGTTGCAAATATCAAAAAATTTCTATATGTGACATGGCACCAGAGTTAAGTTAGGGTTTTTCAAAATGCTGACACGCCGAGCTCAAAAGGTTCGCCATCACTGACTGCTAGGGCTATATTTTTTATATTAATTTTAATAAACTCTTTATGGTATAAAGACATTAACCGTTTTCTGTCACATTGTCTACATATATTTTCCTCCCCCCCCCCTTTATTTTGTATTCAGTGATTTTTCTTTTACCACACATTTTACACCAAATCTTTTCCTTTGGGATTTCTTCTAGTATTTCTAAACTTAGACAGTTCTCTCCACTCCAGAAATCTGCTAAGTGTTAAATTTCTGGAACATCATGGTGTTGTTAAAAGCATGAGCTTTGAAGGCAGAACTGAGTTCAAAATCTGACACAGCCGCATTCTTGCTGTGTGAACTTCCTCAGTTACCTAACCACTCTGAGCCTCAGCTTTCCCCTCTCCAAAATGAGAGTAATAACACTACATTGTAACTATAATAATTATTCTATATTTTGCATTATTTGCTGTTTAAAATATCAATATTTATCTACTTCAATGATCTAGAATTGATTTTTTTATATGATATGAAGTATGGGTCTAAGCCAGCTGTGGGCAAACTACGGCCCGTGGGCCGGATCTGGCCCGTTTGAAATGAATAAAACTAAAAAAAAAAAAAGACCGTACCCTTTTATGTAATGATGTTTACTTTGAATTTATATTAGTTCACACAAACACTTTATCCATGCTTCTGTTCCGGCCCTCCGGTCCAGTTTAAGAACCCATTGTGGCCCTCGAGTCAAAAAGTTTGCCCACCCCTGGTCTAAGCCAATCCCTGCCCCCTCCTCTCAAATTGTTGCATTTTGACTCGAAACACCTCTTTCCGGAAAATTCAGTAACTGTGCAGAGCAAAAGAGAAGAATTACTTTGCTTAAACTTGTACTGTGTGCCTGGTATTTCCCATAGATGATACGATCCTTGCAATAGCCCTTCCAAGCTGGTACTGTCTTCCCCACCCTCCAGATGGAGGAACAAAAACATAAAGAGGCTATTGACTTGCTCAACCTGATCATACCTGGGGACAAGCCTGGAACCCAAGTTGGTTGTTTTCCACGTCCCTCACTCTCTTCACTGGGCCACAATCCCTCCACCCTCAGAGTTCTCAGCAGAAGAGTCCACAGGAGACAGGAGTGCAAGACTGTAGAGTGTTGGGAAGGGGCCAATCACCCAAGTGCCCCCTGGGTGCAGAGCTTGGTAGGACTGAGCCAGCCTGAATCACATCCAGAAGGGCTGGTGATTAAGCTGAGCAGAGCGAAGGGCGCCTGAGGTGGTGCAGCTTGACCTGACTTAGAGGTGGGTGTGCAAGGCCTGGCGGGGCAGCACCGAGTGTTCCCAAGGTCAGAGACACACAACAGCCCAGCAGGTGTAACTCAGTGGCTGAGCATCCACCTATGAACTAGGAGGTCGAGGTTCCATTCCTGGTAGGGGCACATGCCAGGGTTGTGGGCTCAATCCCCAGTGTAGGGTGTGCAGGAGGCAGCCAATCAAAGATTCTCTCTCACCATTAACATTTTTATCTCTCTGTCTCCCTTCCTCTTTGAAATCAATAAAAATATATCTTAAAAAAACACACAGAGCAAGTGGGTGATATGAAGGCCAGGGAGCTGGGTGGTGTAGGGTGCTCCCGTCCCGTCTGAGGGAGTCCCTCCTCACTCATCTTCTATAATTCCAGGTCCGAGCAGAAATCCTCACCACATACGCCCTGTGTGGATTTGCCAACCTCAGCTCCATTGGCATCATGCTGGGAGGCCTGGGTGAGTCTTGGGGGGCATCCCGGGCATCCTGGACTGTCGGGGACCTGGGCTCTAGTCCTGGCTATGAAACAACTTCCTGGGGACCTGTAGTCCTCAGTTCCCTGCCTTTGTCTAAGGCGAGGCCTGAATGAGATGGCCATGGAGGTTCCTCCCAGCCCAGGAATTCCATGATTTCTTGGCTTCTGGGTGCAGCCCAGGCCGAGCCTGGCTCTGGGATCTGGGGAGGGACCGGAAGCACAGTGCTGGTCTCTCCCCTGAGACCCTGGCCTGCCATTTCCCACTCCCAGTGGACAGGCAGGCCTTGGGCACCCAGGGAGGCAGGCTCTGCCCAGCTCTCAGCTCTCTGCAGAAACCCCTTCCTTCCACTCTTCGCAGTCCCCCTGCCTGGGCTTGTAACCACCCCATTTTACAGAGGAGGACACTGATTCGTGGAGAAGTGAAGTGATAGCCTAAGTCACACAGCTAGCCAATGGCTAGGCCTGTATTTAATCCCAGGTCCGCCTGACTCCAGACTCAGGTCTTTTCTTACATCTGCCTCTGGTGATGTGTGTGGAGAGGTGTGGGGTGCTACCTAGTCAGGCCAAGGACTCCCAAACTCAGCCAGTGTCAGGAGGACAGTGTCCATCCCTGGCCACCTAGAAGAGAAAGGGGAGTCAGCAGATGCAGCCAGCGGTGCAGAGCGTGGGCAGAGAGGCCCTCGGCGTCCTGGCCCTGAGCATTCCTGTCCCCTTGCAGCCTCCATGGTCCCCCAACGGAAGAGCGACTTCTCCCAGATCGTGCTGCGGGCCCTCTTCACAGGGGCCTGTGTATCCCTGATGAACGCCTGTGTGGCAGGTGAGTCCCTGCCTGGTAGAGCCTTGATTTCTCGCTGGGCTGGGCACTGGGGCTCTGAACTCTTCGGAAGTCCCTGAGGGTGGGAAGTGAGGGGATAGTAGACCCTGCTTGCCATCTGCTTTCTCTGCATAGGGATCCTCTACGTGCCCAGGGAGGCCGAGGTCAACTGTACGAGCCTCCTGAACACGACCCTCAGCAGCACCAGCTTTGATGTGTACCAGTGCTGCCGCAAGGCCTTTCAGAGGTGAGGGCCAGGGGATGCCATGGGCACCTGGGCAAGGAATAGAAAGGTCGTGGCCGTGGTTGATGTGGCCAGGGGAGGAGGAAGTGGGGCTTGAGGACCAAATTTGGGGAAGAAAGATGGACCAGAGACATGGAGCAACTTTTCCAGGGTTGCACAGCCTGTAGGGGCCAGCAGAGCCAGTGCTGGGGGTCAGACTGAAGCCTTTGCTTTCTTTCAGCACCAGCCCGGAGTTCAGCCTGGACAACTGCTGCCGATTTTACAACCACACAACCTGTCCATAGTGGGGCAGCATGCCTCGGTGCCTTCTGGGGGCTGTTCTTCCCCAGGAGGCAGCTGACCCCACCTTTCCCTCTCCAGGCCTGTCCTCGGGAAGCCCACTGGGAGGGGGCGGTGGCGTGAGTGGGCGGAGGCTGAGAGGGTGTGTAAGTGAATGAAGGATGCTCCTCACTCCTCATTTCCCGCCTCCCAAATGTGAATTCCCAGGATCACGGCTGCCTTCTCTGTTTCTCCCCTCCACATCCAACAGCACCCTGGTCTTTTTAGTCCCCTTCCTACCATGGATCTCTCCCATGCACCCTTTCCTTCTCTTATGGCCCCTCGCCCCTGGCATCTAGGCCTCCTCCTTCCCTCTTCTCTGGCACTTGGGGCTTACTGAGGCTTACCCCTGCCCATGGTTTCTCCTGAAGGCCCCTTCCCCTACTTCAGGAGACTCCCCACTGCCTTCCTTCATTGCACTTCCCAAACTGGGGTCCCGTGGAACACTCCCACAAGGTGTCCAGAACTTCCACGGTCCACTAGGTTTTGGAAACACTAGGCTAAAAAAAGTTAGACAGGTTGTTTTTTTTAAAAAATGGTTTTATTGCTTAAAGTATTACAAAGAGTATTATATATGTCTCCTTTTTTTTTCTTCCCTTGACCTTCCCCTAACCTCCCATACCCCCCAGTGTCTTGTGTCCATTGGTTATGCTTATATGCATGCATACAAGTCCTTCGGTTAATCTCTTACCCCCCCCTCTCCAACCCTCCCCGGCCTTCCTGCTGTAGTTTGACAGTCTATCTTGACTCCATTGTATGTTCTTGCCTTCTTTGTCAAATATTAATTGAGCATATTGGTTTGGGTCAATTTCTGGGCTCTCTATTCTATTCCATTGATCTATATGTCTGTTCTTGTGCCAGTACCAGGCAGTTTTGAGAACAGTGGCTTTGTAATACAGCTTGATATCTGGTATTGAGATCCCACCTACTTTGTTCTTTCTCAGGATCGCTGCAGCTATTCGGGGTCTTTTTTTTATTCCAGATGAATTTTTGGAGACTTCGTTCTAGGTCTGTAAAACATGCCGTTGGTATTTTAATGGGAAGTGCATTGAGTTTATAGATTGCTTTGGATAGTATGGACATTTTAATGATGTTGATTCTACCAATCTGTAAGAGGCCATGGGGCTACAGGAAAGGCCTGATCCCACTCCAAGTCATGTAAAGGACATGAGCTTGGCTTGTACCCCAGTTCTTGTGATCTAGGCAAGCAGACATTTTGTCATAGCAACTGTTTGTCATAGCAACTGTCAAACATATGGAACTAGACAAAGCTTGCCCAGTCTTGCCCAGCTTGTAATGATCTGCTACTTCCTTATGATAGGCCAAGCCCTAGCAGTGATCTATGAAACATAACCAGCCACAGCTTAGCTATAAAACAGTGTGTGTAAAAAATAAAGTTGCTGGTGCTTTGTGCCAGTCCTCCTAAACCCCGGTCTCTGGTGCTTTCATCCCACGCCGCCATTACCCTACGGGGCCTTTTGGGAGCGGGTCTCCACAATTGGCGCCCAACGTGGGGCAGAAGGTGGGCTGCGTGAGGACCCCGGAGTATCACTCGGCCGAGTCCATTAAGTAATAGTAAGTTTTGGGGAATTTGTGTTAATTAGGAATAAAACATGGGGCAATTAGAGACCAAAGAGCGCTCTCTGTATGCGCAGATGTTAAAGAACATGCTGCAGGCAAGAGGGGCTTGAGTAACTACCTCCCGACTCCAGCCGGGGGGCCACGACGGTGGCCATGCACTGGGTTTGTCTCTCTGGTGTTTGTTGTCTGGTATTTGTTGTCTTGGTATTTGTTATCAAAAAGTCGTCTGCTTCTGTGTGCACCCCGCTGCAATGTTTTTTGAAAAATTTTCAGGACTTCAAGGAGCGAGCTGCAGGTTCCAGACAACCTTAGGTTGCATTTGTCTGGTTTGTTTTGTCTTTGTTCTTTATTGTCTTTGTCTTTATCAAAATAGGTTAGGGTCAGTCATCTTCGTCGACCCCCTATCAGTCAGGCCCACTCCGAGTGAGTAGAAGAGGAGCTAGATCACCTCCTGGGAAGCTATAGAGCTCCCTCAGAAATTGGGAATTTGTTAGGAATTGGGTGGATTGTTTAAATTCTGAGTGAATGGTGAAAGTGTGTGAGTGTGGAGGGAGGGGGCCTGCCCTCTCCTCTCCTTTATGTGGCTCCACAACTTCGGTTACGGAGTCCGAGTGGGCCCCAACCTGTGGTTCCGTGATTCGTTATATGGCATAACGGTGACTCACTCCCATATGGAGGTGACCAGGCCCGGGGTTTATACGGGTGCACCTTAGCCAAGACAAATCTAAGCTCCTAAGGGACGTGGCCAGGCGGGCATCTGCATGAGGATCTGTGAAAACAGGTCATCCCCTCCCTTGTCTGTCTCTCACCACTGATCATCATGGTGTGGGGACAAAGTAAACCCACTGTTAACTGGTCTATGTGAAGTTAAAGCTACTTTGATTTATTCTGCTGTTCTGTTGATATGCTTGGCTGAACGTTTGGGCTGGACCCGTGGTAGTCTGCAAAAGTCTCTTGGCAGCTGCGAGAATTATTTTTCTCAGAGTCTTTTGCTCACTATTAAAGGGGAATCAGCCCACTTAGCTAATAAAGATTTCTGTCTATCAGTTGCTCTTACCTAGGTTGTAAATTTACTGTATTACGTTAAAGTTCTAGGGTAGATTTAAAGGTTAAGATGTTAATGCTTTTGATTTGCAGAAATTCTGAACGGGAGTGGCCCACTTTCCAGGTGGGATGGCCGGACGTATAGGACTTATGATTTAACACCTTTCGTATCGCTCATGAGTTTTCTCGTGTTTCGCGCACCATCTGTTAAGGACCGCTCACGAGTTTTCTTGTTTTTCACGCCCATGGAAAAAGGAGCGAATCTAGATACTTATGTAAATTTTGTTTGGTCCCTCTTCATAGAGGAAAATGTTTTACGCAGTACCATACGTTAAAAAAGTACTAGGAACTTTAATTGTTTAATCGTTGAATTGTTTTTGTAAATAAAAATGTTATAATTATTGAAAAACGACACCTAAAGTGCATTATGATGATTTAAATAACGTGCAGTTTGCCCAAAAATGTGCGGTCCCTGGCGTATGTCTTAGAGATTTCTATGCGGTATGAAAGGTGTTAACCACCGCTTTTCAGGTTCACCATGTTGTCTACAGCCGGCCGGGTCACCCTGACCAAATTCCCTATATTCAAGTGTAGGTCAATAGTTTAACTAAAGAAAGGTTGGAAACAAATACGCCATCTGAGTCATTTGCTAAAACTTCCCACAAAGCAGAATGTGGGGGAAAGGAAGAAGAGAGCACGTGGTGATCCAATATGGACGCCCCCTCCCCAAGTATTCTAATTTACAATCTCCTTCTCATAATTGAAAAGTTTTACAAAAATTTAAAAATGGGTCTGGGATTTCTGTACACGTGTAAAGAGAAAAAAATAGCTTGGAATTAATGCGCGCATCGTCCGATTTTGGACATTTAGATAGAGTTTTGAGCTAAAATCTCTTTACAAACGTACAAAATAAAACCCAAGACTAATTATTTCCTAAGAAAAATGGCAAATTTAACCCATAGGAAAAAAAATGCTGGCTAGATTCTAGCAGCAGGATTGGCATTTCCATAATAAAGAACAGTTTTTAAATACTAATAAAGGGTGTTAAAAAGTTAACTTCAAGACCAAAAAGGAAATTCAGTAAATTATCTTTATTACAAAAATTTACTAAAAAATATGCCTTAAAATAATAAATTAGATTTAAATCTTAAGAATTATTAAAATATATTAATTATAAAAATCTAAATAGCCCAGGTAAAAGACGGCTACGCCCTTTAATTAAGGCTGGCTTCCCAAAGCGATTTCTAATAGAGGAAGGAGTAGCCTCCCTTCCCCCAACAGAACAAGCAGGTAGGCCAAAAATTTCCTACCAGTGGCAACTTATCTACCATAAGAAGCCAGTATCTTTATAAGCACTCATATTACTGGCATCCCCTATAATCCCACTAGTCAGGGTATTGTAAAACGTGCCCATTCTACCTTAAAGGCTATATTGTTAAAACACAAAAGGGGGAGTAGAGGAATGACCCCCAGAGATAGGCTAAATAGGGCATTGTACTTTTTAAATTTTTTAAATTAGCAGCATGGGGAAATGGCTGCTGAAAAACACTTTGTTCCTCAAGAATGTAAGCCTAATTCTAAAGTAATGTACTGGGATCAGGAATCCTCCATTTAGAAAGGCCCGGTGGAGTTATTAACTTGGGGAAGAGGGTATGCTTGTGTTTAAGTTTCAGATGCAGACCCCAATGACTGAGTTTGCGATCAGATCTCTGAGGAAGAGGCAGGACACGCTCCAGCGGAGGCGTCGTTGCCAGACCCTTTGGATGGAGATGGCCCCTCCTCACCTAGGGCTCTTTGAAGAGGTTGGATGCAGAAGCTCAAAGCATTCACTCGGAACTCTTCCTAGGAGTTAATTTTGGCTTTGATCGCCTTGACTGGACTCTTGCCAGTGACTTCGGCTGAGGTTCACTGGGCTCATATGATTGACTTGGAATGACCCTGATCCTCCTTTGACTACTAACGACTCGGACTATACTCAAGGAACTTGGGTGAGGCCTGATGGACATTTGGGGGACTCTCATTTTCAAGCATTGTTTAACAAGACCCTCAGCTAGAATGTACCCACTGTTCCTCTGTATATTCCTTAATAGCTTTTATTATGTCTACTATGGTAATTATTTCTTCTGCTGTAGCATCAGGATTTGCCTTGGAGACCTCTATCCTTACAGCCCAACAGGTAGATAGTGGGTTACACAACCTCACCTCTAACTGGGAAACGGGGCAAGTTTATATTAGTAGCTAGAGCAACGGGGCAAAGTTGATTAATAAGTACCTTGGTAACAGGGCATTATTGATTGGTTATGGTTTTATGTAATTCACTTATGTTTTAGTAACTGCACTTAGCAACAATGATTGATTGTATAACTTTGAAATTGCATGAGGAAATTCAGGCTATAATGAGTGCAAAGGGACCTGAGCTTCCGCCTGCGGAGGTAGCAGCTAAGATTTTTAATGAGATTGAAAGTTGGTTTTCTTCTACCCGGTGGACCTCGTGATTGGGTTCCGGGATTATGC